TGCGAGAAACAAGGAAGGTGATGCCGTGACCACTGAGATCAGAGACCTCAGAGAGGATAGCAAACACAAAGGTCGTGGAGGAGGAGAGGGTTCTACCTGCTGCAGACTTGAAGTGGAGAGGAAGAGGATAGAAGGCATGACCCGTCATATTCTGAGTTTTGTTGGTCAGCTCAAGGAGGACATTAGATGTGACTGAGGCAATGCCATCAATGCTCAGGTTGGTATTAGTGAATCCATTGAAGGTGAAGTCATATTCCCTTGAGGCTGCAAGTTTTAGGAGAAAGAATAAGAAGAAAATGAAATTCTTCGTCAACAATGGATGGCATCTTCAGTCCTGCAAATGCGAAGAACGCTTCAAAAGGTTTTTTAAGTAGCTTAGAGAGTCTCTGGTGCGTGGGCCCATTTCATTAGCATATTGCTAACGGGCTAACAGCTGATTTAGTCACCTAGACACTTGTTGATAATATAAAATTAAACGGTGGATAGGATTCAGGAATACAGGAGCCTTGAATGGTTAAAAAAAAACAATAAGAAATGAGTCCGGTGAATTCCCTCAATATAACCATAAATACTTATTTCCTTACAAAAAATCTAAGAAATGAGTTTCATTACATATGAGTCACATCAGCCAATAAAAATGTGCCGCATAATCTTTTTCATTTCATTTCAATATACGAACAAAACAAAAGAAATGTAACAATTATAAGAAATATATTTCTTACAATTGATTTCCTTGAATTTTTGGCCAACTAAACAACCCCTCATTTCCTTACAAAAATTTAAGAAATGAGTTTCCTTAAGTATGAGTCACATTAGCCAATTAAAAGGTACCATAGATTCTTTTCACTTCGTTTTGTTTTAATGTGCGGATCAAACAAAAGAAATTAATCATTATAAAAAATACATTTTTTACAATTGATTTTCTTAAATTTTTGGAGTAGGACGAGACATATGCTTGCTTGAGGAAAAACCCAAAATACAAAAAACGGAAGAGAGATCAAGAGGACAAGTTGTTGGATAGCAGTATTCCTAATCTATT